ACAATATTTTAAATTAGTTTTTAAAATATCTATCGCATACACATTATAAAGTTTTCTGCAACGTACTTTTTTCCAATAACTTGTAACATGTGTCGATCATGCACACGTAACTTTTATCCGCACAATATTTAACGCAAAAAAAAGAATCTTTATCATAGATTTGATTTATCAAAAAGTTCCATTCTTCGTTTCTCCACCATATTTTCTTTCTTCTGGACATCTATCTCCTTTACGTCGTAATTAATCATTGGTGAAGTCTAGGCTATCTCTAGTGGACTTGCGCGTCCGTTCCAACGTCTAACAGAACTTTCCTTCGCGAAGATATCACACAAGGATTAGGGACTTTAGAACTTTCAGAAGATCGCGCCACATTTATCTCAGGAACGTCGATACACCTTGAAGTCATTAAGAATTTTCGAGCAGCGATAATAATTTTTCACACACTCTTATACGAATGGGAAAATTGCGGAAGTGTCTGCAAGGAATTATTACCGAAATTTAACTTTTCTTAAATAATTGTATAAAAAAAATTCATGCAAACAAACGTAAGATATAATTTTGAATTTAATAATTTATGCAATAATACGTGCAACTATTAAAATGTTTGTAGTTTTAATTTAGAAAGCTCTTAATTTTCCAACAAGCTGTCAATTAAAAACATGAAACAGCGTCATTGCAGAAAGCATTATGCGACTGCCTCTGCGCGCTCTCTAAAATCCGCGCTCTCCCGACAACAATATCGCGCCAAACTACGCTTGATTATGCTTAAAAATGCACGGGAGCGAAATTTACATAACATCACGCCGCTGTAAATTCCGAGTAAGGAGGGCGCATTTCATGCGACGTTCGCGAATTTCATTAACCGGATAAATGCGTGCGTTGCGTGTACCCCGTTCAAGGCTGTGTTTATTTGAACATTATCATGACAATAGGCACGATATGGATGCCCACGTAACCGTGGCCTCTTGTCAATCATCGTGACAACTTTCATCCACAAACGTAAGAATATAAATATAACAAAATCAGATGTAGAAAAAAGAATTATAAATTACTTTTTAAAGGTCTGAGTCCGCTAAAAGAACAAAACGTTATAATTGTTGATAGATATAAATGATCGCGATAAAAATAATTGTGTAAAACGGCATAACGAAGTAGAAATTTATGATAGATATAAATACACGGTCACATGAAAACTTGCAAGTAATCCATAAAGTGAAACTATCCATAAAATGGAGTAGGAAGAAGGGATATCTGTCATTCTTCCCTTTAAGGTATTACTCTACTTGAGAACAGGTGTTCGCTTCATACATCGTTTTGAGCGGGATGAAACTCCATTAAGTTGCATCAGTTACATGAATTTCGCAGGAGTTATAACGCGATTACGGCACACATACAAGAGACATGTCGGATGAAAAAACGAATGAAATTGTGTATAATATATATATATATATATATATATATATATATATATATATATATATATATAGTTTCAATCTTGTATTCCTTGTGACTTGGCGTGATTTAAAGACGCAGTGCGACGAAAGTCTGGCTTCATTGTTTTGGCACGGAATGTTTCAATAACGTAGCTTCGCAAAATACAGATCCATTCAATAATTAAAAAGTAAATGTTATTTTAAAAATTCAATAGAAATATTCGGAAATTACGTGAATAATAGGAAATTAACGAATGTTTAATTAAACGTCACGTACATTTCTTGCGAAAAATATAAATTGATTTTTCCTCGGTATTTCTCACATTTATACATAAACGACAACATTGCCTACATGAATTCAGGAGGATGACGAAAATAAAAAATTGTCGCATAGTGCCAGCTACAAAGTACTGGAGTCTACTTTAAGTCATGTCAAAAATTTATCACTGTTTTTCTTACTCGAAATACCGACTAAAAGAAACTTGGCGCATTGCCTTGTTTTCTTTACGCTTGTACGAATAGACATTCGTAACCAAACATCACACACTGTTTCGCAAAAATATATGCTGGCCATGACACAATAATTCATTTAGTAAGAATTCCTTTGGCACATAGAAAGAATAAAAATGCATCATCAGGGTTAAGAACAATTTTTTCCTGTAGTAATAAATATATAAAATAAAATTTCCTCTCATTTTTAAATAACAACAAATTTAAAAAATCACATATTATCAATCGAAGGCTATTATAAAAAAGGATTAAGATTCAATATCTTTTATGACAAATTATATTGTGATTAACATAAAAGAAAAGTTATATAATATTAAAGATACAGCACAAATTTATTTAAAAATATATTTTCCTTATTTAAATGTATAAATGCGTAAATTATTTAATATATATATAATAATCTTAAATTATTTATTATATAATAATCTTTCATTTTTGATTATTATTATCATTTCTATATTTTCTATATTTTTCTGTTAGTAAAAATTTTTATATCTTTTGAATAATAATTCTGCGAATGAGAAATTTTAAGTAAGTAAAATCAACATTTTTCGAGCAAATTTCGGACATAATCGTGAAAAAATATCGATCGGCGATGTCCACATTCCAGGTCTTGGATCTAATAGCAAGGAATTAATTGGTCACTTCCTCCAGTTCCGCACCTTCCCCCGCTGACCAACAATCCCCGCTGATATTGGTGGTTTGCCACCCACCATGAATGCACCTTGTCGCGGTTTACGCTCATCGGTCCCCGAAATACGATGTTCTCACTCGATTAATATAAAATCTCATTCAAATTCTTAAATAAATTAAAGCACGAAAAACTGTGAAGAAAAACTCGATTTTACGTCTTATTAACATATCACTCCTCGATTTTGAAACAACGATACAATAAGTATATTATAACAATAAGAATATTATAATTTTTTAATTATTGAATACACTTTGAAAAATTTTCTTTCCATTTTTTTTCCTTTACATTATAGAACAATCAATGTGTTACCTTATTATAAATCAAATAAAATCGGCGTGATGACAAGTGTAATTAAATTCATAACATAAATTATTATTTGGCAATTATTGTTTCAGACTCAGATGTTTATACGCATTTTCTGCTAATTAACTTTGTCGATTGTGTTATTTATGACGATATTGTATTGTTCCCGAAGCACCAGCGGACGCATCATACTATCATATTTTCTGGTGCGCGAGCGATTTAATGGCGACGACAATTCATCGACTAATAGTGAGCCCACTGCGCTCCGCAGAGTTTCAAGTTACTTAAACTACGTGTACATGTATCAAGCTTAATGACTCATTGTCAAATCTTTTCGCGCTTTTGAGAGTCATCGTAATGCTCTACATTTAGCAGGTTAAAATTCACGGAGTTGCAATTTGTTGTTTTGTTCATGAAAAATTAAAATTTTGATCTACTTATTATTACAAAAGCGACAAATGATGATTGATGTAAATGTAATACGTATAAAGTATCTTTATTTATTTCTTTTTACACTGAATAATTCTTAACAATAAAACAATTTTACATAATAAAATTTTACAATGAAAAATTTTACATAATAATTAATATATTAATATTAATATATAAAAATATATACAAAGAATTTTTGAGGACTTATAGCTCGAAAACTTTCTTCATTAATAAAAACTGTTATCAAAGATCATAAGACATAATTATACATCCATACTTTTTACTAATTCAAGATATTTTATGTATCTCATTTTCAAACTAATTATTAGAAAGTTTTATTAATGAATAAAAGTGCAAAAACTAAACATTTGCATTTCTATCCCCATGTCATTTCCTGCACAGAGTAATAATACTGCAATTAGTATTCATTTATGGCACTAGGTTAATCGAGTTCGCAAATTCTCAACAAATTTATATGACAATTCAGAACTTGCACCGCCCAATCACTTGTGGTCAAGCAAGCGTCTGTTTCATTCGACGAGGATTGTCAATCGTTCGCAGAAGTTTCTGATTCTGGAGAGGAGTAAGATAATCAAATTTCACCGGTCACTTTGAAGACTGTTACGCAGTAATGGAGTTGCCGACGACTTAGGTAGGTTGGTCCAAGTCTCCCCTAATGTTGCGGCTCTTCAGTAACATAGCGTACGCGCAGCATCCGTTACATGTTTCGAACTTTGTCGGCTATCCTTGGAAATCCTGGTGAGGGCAAGTAGAACCTATATTGACAAAATTTTCCAGTTAATTATTCGCGTCTGTTCTTAATCATACGAGCTTAATCATCGTGGGTATGTCTTCTCGAATATCTCCGCGCAGTCGCATAGAGGTTAGCAAATCATTCCTAGCGTTCTCTCATCATCATTAATATCTCGTTACAGCGAATTCTATATATTCATAAATCATTCTATGTCATTAAATTGCCGGCAAATTATCTTCATTTTTCTTTTATTATATTGTATGTGAATCTTTTAGTTCTTAAAAAAAGTGTAAAGGGAATTTTAAATACATTTTTTGTACACGGTTCATTACATATGCATAAAATTAATAAATGATATAGAATTGGAATTATGAAAGAAACGATGACTAATTAATAGAAAAATTTATAGACGAAAAGATTTCGCATCATGAAAATCATAGAGACACTGTTAATCTTATAAGTCGAATTATCTAAATTATGTATTTTTTCATAACTGAAAAACTGCAATTTCATAAAATCAATCTACAGATTGTGTCCAAATTAGTTTTGCAAATTGATGTTATCAACCGGCAAATCGTAATCACGATAGCTTTAGTCAGAATCTGCTATAAATTCAGGAAATTCCCAGTAAGAGAAACTGAGAAGTTTGAACCATCTTTGGACACGGTGGGATTTGCGCTGATCTACGTTATTCGAAAACACTCGTGCAATTTTATCTCGATCGTTCCTAGTTTTTGAAGAGAAAGAAGGGAATGTCAGCAATATAACAAATGTTGTAAGCTTAATCTAGGTGCCCTAGATCCGCGAGATAGACGTTAAACAGACGCGTTGCAACGCAGTTTAACGATGTTTACTTTTTTTTGGACCTGTTCAGGAGTGACCATTCTGCTGTCGCTGACAGTTTTCCTGAACCTCGTGGCAGAAAGCATGCCGACGACTTCGGACGCTGTCCCTTTAATAGGTACCTATGATTGTCAAACAACGATAACTCGCATCTAGCACACAAACGTGTTTTTACAGTGTCTGTACATACATTCATATGTGTATATATCCGTGAGAAACGGGGTGCGCCGCGATCATCTGACACGATAGCGGTAATTATTAAGCATTACGCTATTGATACCACGTAATGTTGGAAAATAATAGCATAATTATACAGTAATATCAAATGAAATGAGAATATAAGAGATTCTATTAAATTAATTCTTCTATCTAAATTGTGCCATTAAGATGGTATCTCTCTCTCTCTCTCTCTAATTCGAGAATTATTATATATAATTTCAAAATAGGATTATGCAAATTTCGTAGCTCTAATTAATTGCTAATAATAAAGATGATACAACGGCGCTCCCCATAAACATACCTTCGCCTGTCTTTTGCGCAAATCCTAGAAAACCTACGAAGTAACCAGACCAGTAAAGGTGGAAAATCGATGACAACGGATTATGAAGGTAGTCTAGGATGACAAGTGAATCGATTCTATCGTTCGGATAATGAGCGCTCGAAGGCGAATTCGTGAATTAAGTACGAACTGAAGAAGACGACTCAATCGCTTCTTGAAAAGACTGGTGTTCGAGCGACCTATTGCTCGAAAGGGCTGCTCCAGTTCGAATTAGAACCAGGGTGGAGGAATAAGGAGGTCGCCGCGCGAGAATCAGGATTGTACGTTTCCCGGAAGTCGATAACTCCCTCTTTTCTCCTCCCCTGGGTCTTATTATCCAGTATTCTATCCTTAATTTCCTCTCAAAGCAGTTACGATTAATTTTGCAAAATCTACCCGAATGGATAGTTTCTTAAAACTATCTGAAAAAAATTGGAATCATTAATTCTCTCGTTTTTTCCACGAAATTATTTGTCCGGCAAAAGCTTGTTAAGATTTCACCATCACGAGTTGCAATCTTGCTTTATTTTCGACGCGACAGGACGGTTGTTCCTAGGAGGAGACTGAGGGGAGGGGTTGGGTATCGGACGAAGGAAACGGCTTCCTGTCACGGCAATTCCGGAGTGTATGTCGCGTTCGTGGAAAATGTCGCAAAGGATCGCGCGGATCAACGCTAAGAGGTTCCAAATCCCACCACTGTTTATCGCATTTTAACGGTACAAACTTATCTTCTCTCGCCGGAAAAAGAAGTGAAGAATCGCCGAAAACTGATCTTCATCCAGATTCTTCGCGCGTTAAACTCGTCAAATTGAATTCTCCACTTATACTCGCCGAGATCCACAACTTTTAATAAAAAAGATAATACCTTTCATCTAAAGGAAAAGGGGATTGCCTCTTATTTCGTTGTAAAATGTTCTTTATATTTCTTTCACAAAATAAAAAAACAAAAGTGCACCTTCAACAAATAAAACACACATCAGAAACGTTGCAATTACTATTTTAAGTGAATCGTTTTCGATTTCGATTTAAAGAGAATTTAGTAGAAAAAGAAAGAAAACAATATTTGTGTCGTGAAACGTTTTCTTCCGTCAGAAAATATTTTGAAAGACATAAACACAGATCGCAAACACACACATATTTATGTCACGATTTTAAATGTCGCAATTATTACTCTAACCAGATCGTTTGATGACATCGTAAAATTGAAGCAACATCAGACGCGAATATTTTTATACAAGATGCCGACAATCTATTCACTATTCAATTACACTCATAGACACATAGCTAGCTCGTTCACTCGCAAATAACGACTCATTCGTGGACAGGTTCTTCTCGAGACTCTTTTATGTATGATTTTATTTTTATACTTGCATCGATGGTCGTTACGTCGGGATAGCAAGCAATAAAGATGTGAATGTCGAAAATAACATCCGACGAACCAGCTGAAGTACATAAATTCCGTTACCATGTCGCTGTGAGAAGGTAAAATAGATTACAAATTACGTTTACGATCGCGAAAGCGCTATAGTATACGATCGTTAAAATTAATCTCTACAGTTATGACTGAAACAGAACTAAACAGAATTTTAGAGCTCAAGCCAGAGTGCTTGTCGAGATGTGATATTTACATAAAACGCTTCATTGTCCGGGAAACGCTCACATCTTTAGTTCTTGCCGTACCGAATTAGTTGGTTTAGTTTCTGCGACATGTCCCGAATGGTTTGTTTCCTCCAACATCCGTGTACAGCGAATTTGTTTTTCGATTTCTTTTTTCCTAAGCTTTGAGATTTCCCTCGTAGAACCTCATATATACTGTTGCATTATGTTTTCCATCTAAATGTCCTGCACACATATATCTACTTATATGAGTCTGTTTAGTATTCTCCCTCAATAAACAGCGTGCTAACCGCCCATAAAATCATCGAACAATCGATGTAATTGACGTATTATATTTTTTTACCTAATAAAATACCCATTGTGATGTGAAACATTGATATATAGTAATGAATATTATATTACAAGCTTAAATATTTGTAGTTGAATTTTTACGAGTTTGGAAATCAAACAAGCGTTTTTTAACATTTACATAAGTCTCTCGATAAAAAGCAATTAGGCACCAATAAAACGTATAATCCTGATGATCGTCCAATGAAGATAATTAATTGTTTAAAAAAGAGATTTCAGAAATGAGAATCGACTCATGATACGAACGATAGAAGCCGAAGAAATCGCGTTAGATTAACTCTTTTAGATATTCATTATCGCCGGTGCATATATCTAGTATGATACAAAGTGCATTTTTGATTCAACACATAGGTTGAATTAAAGCACTTTCGCACTTTAATCTCGTTACACATGGCGTCCTAGATTACTGCGAATAAGTGAGATCCGGAAGTAATTTAACGATCAAGATAACTTCATTCGGATTACGTGATTTGTAATTTTCCGAAATATTTTTTATTTAAAGATCTAAGTTATAAAGAGAATATATCTTTATCTTTTATAGTTCTATTAACTTTTTAATATCTCGATCAAATTAACTTTATTTAATTCTGATTAGAACTTACCATCTCTCTTTTTACATCATAGCTCAAACTATAATAAGAAAGGAAATTTGATTAAGCGCACTTCGGCTTAATTAAAGTTGGCGCAACAAATTGTAATAAACGTCATTCCATTCGATGACGCGCGACGCGGGAAAAAAAACGATCGATTTCCAGAAGCTGGTCCCTTCTGTTGTTCAATGAAAGGAAGAAGAAGAGGGAAAAAAAAGAGTATCCTCACGCACATACACACGGTGAGGATCGTTCCTACACTACTTTCTCTCCCCTGGGAAAGAAAGTTTAATTAAAGTCCGTGGCTGGGATAAATGTGTCGTGCGATGCATCTTAAAACAAACCCCCATGAGAGCGGCGCTGAACGCAAATTCCTTTTAGGCTCTATTTCGTTCCCATGAATTGCCCTTTCTCGCCCTTTTGTAGGGTCATTCGATGGGCTATTTCGCTGCTGTTCTAACCCCTTCAACGTCCAACGCTGTCACAGAGAATTACATTTCGCGTTGCTAGAAATTTGTTTCAGTCCATAAAATAATAGAGAAAGAGAGAATGAGAGAAAGAAGGAAAAAGAATAAAACAATTATTCAGAAGGTAGAATCGTGAAGGTATTTCGAGTATCTCTTAATTACCGAGGTCTAGTAGCGCGAAGCAATTAGCTTCTAATGAGTGTTCAGTGAACGCTTTGATTTCACATAGCTCTTTCACTTCGTGATAAGCGATATATTTGGAAGAGTCTTTTTAATAAAAAAAATATTAATCGTTATATATTGTTGGCGATTTTCGATTTTATTAGTTATAATCGAGGGAGCTTTATTAGGGAATGTAGTGATGTTTCTTGATAATTTGATAACTCTTTCTTGTTATAACTTTGTGCACATGAAAAGCCTAATTTTAATATGTGCTTTAACGAACTGACAACATCTTGGCGTCCAATAAAAAACACTGCACCATTATCGTGATCAGAAATTTACCGATTAATTGTTCCTTCTTGTCACGCTTCATGAGAATAGAAGCTTACTTCCTCCCTTTCACATACAGGAAGGAAATCCGTAAATTACAACCGGAGGCGGTTGAATGAAATCGCTAATTTAGCACGAAGCACACTTGGCAGTACGGACTGTTAATTACATACCTGTTCGCATAAAGTCGCTTCTGATAGTTTCTCAATGAATTATGTAATCAAGATAATTCGACAAAGATGCCGGATTGTTAAAGCAATTAAAGTTAATAATGAATGGTCACTTTGATTTTCCATCCTTAGTGAATTAAACGTCATCAATTTTACTTTATTTATTGTTGAAAGAAAACAATACTGAAATCTAAAGTTCAAAATATACCTTTTATTATATATCGTTAAAGCGTTTACATTTTCAAATTTAAAAAATGTCATACGTCAGTAAATCTTTTTTCGCGAATAAAAATTATGGAGGAAAAAGTGTCGCGATTGAAGAGCATTTCAATAAACTGAAAAATTATATTATTATTTCTCATTTAGCACATTTTACTTCTATGATATTTTTTAAATCTGCGTTGAATTTTGCTTAATCTTCAGTGCCATAAGTTTTGTTCGCGTGACATTTTTCACTTGATGAGTCATACATTTTTTCATGCTTTATAAAATATCTTTCACGGAGGATTCTCTCCAAACGGAGATAAATCAAGACAATGTCTCGGGAAAATTTCAATCGTTTTCCATCGACTGAGTGATTTCGTCATTTGAATCATCTGTTCGCGCCATAGAAAGAGACGTTCTATAACTGCTCCGAAATTGACAGATGAATAATTTTGTGACTTTCTTTCTTTCTTTAGAGCGGTTTCTCGTATGATTAATGCTCATCGTCCGCAAAATATGATGTCCAATCGAACGATCCCTTCTCGTTTTCGAGAATCTTTTCGACAAAAACGTCCCAATTCGCGAACGCACTCTCGCTTACGTATGTGTTCGACGCCGATAAAGTGCGATGTTGAAACGAAAAGTCGCGATCCATAGAATGAAAGATAAGTAATAAATGCTCGTAAGCTGAT